GAGCTGTTGTTCACCATCTTAGCTGTAGAGGGCAGTGTCACTGGCCCTCATGTGGGATCTGAACTGGGGCCCTGCTGCTCAGAGCTGGCGTCCCAAGCTGACTCTTAACCAATGCTCCACTCTGCCGGCCCTGAAATTCTATTCTTATTAAAATACCTGAAAAAAAGTTTTGTGTGGATATCTACAAAATACTTTGGTATATGTTGGTTGATAATTTTGGTTTTCCATTTAGAATACTTCAATTTATTTTGCGTTTTTAATTTTTAATCTATATTATGTCTCTAAGAATAAAAGGGAAGGCAGTTAGAATATAACTACAATAAACTCATTAATGTCCATCCAGAAAGTAACATCAGTATTTTAGGTAGAGGGAAAAAGGAAGTGATTCTTCTACCCACACATTCTTCTAGTTCTGCTTATTCCTCCACTTTGTTTGCCTTTGGAGCTCTGAAAATGGAAATTGCGGGGAAAAAAGAAGAGATTTAAATGTGGGGGGGGGCACACTATAATTTGTTTTTAACTAGCGATCAAGCTAAGTAAGGACTCATTCTTCATTTTTATTTCTACCTTGGGTACTATATTTCAGGTTATAGTTGTAATGAAATTTTATGAGCCTTGCAAAATAAAAAAGATTTATATCATAAACCTAGCTGCGATTAAATTCTATCCCAGTGTAATGGGTACCCTAACCAGTAGTGTGTTTTTGCATTTGTCAAGAGCAAACTATTGAGGGTTAATGTTTCTGTAGGACCAGTAACATCACATTTGTTTTATTTAGAACCTTTATATGTATTAATAACATTAATTTTTTTATGTTTAAATAACTTATTTTCTGGAAACTAAGTGGTTATGGCAGGGGATATTTTACTCATTTGGCAGTTAAACATTAGCTGCTGAAGAAACAAGGAACAAATGATGTTAGATTGCTTACATTGAGACAGTCCTGTGCTGATTTGGATTTTCTGATTTTTATACCTAGAATTATATAAGATATTAATAGATTCATAATTTAAAAGGCAGTGTTGGCAGCATCTTTCTAAATATGATAGCTAAAGTAGTTCCTGTAGAGTCATGTTGGAGGTAAACTGATGAGTGGAGTATATCTATAATTGAACTACACTGATATTTGTTTTAAATTATAAAAGTGTGTAAAAACTAATTTTCATTTTAGATCCTACAGATGTCTACACTTGGGGAGATAATACAAATTTCAACCTTGGTCATGGAAGCCAGGATAGCAAACATCATCCAGAGTTGGTGGATCTGTTCTCCAGGAGTGGAGTTTATATTAAGCAGGTATTTTGAAGTATAATCTATATACTTTTAGAGGTTAAAAAGAACTTTTGTATTTGATAGCTCTTTTCATTTGGATCATGTTAACTTTGTTGAAGGTATGATAGCATGTTTTAATAAAGAAATCAGTCAACAGAACTTTATTAATTCTAGTTTAGGTTTTGTTAGCCATAACCATACTTAGACTATGAAGTACCATAAAACTATAACATGTTGTCCAGCAATGTTAGAAATCAGAAGGCACTATATAGATATCAGTTAATTTTTAAAAGGTAGAGCTTTTGTTGATTTTCTAGCTTTTTTTTTTTCCATTTAACAAAAATGGAGAGTTCTTTTAAAAAAAAGCTCCTTAAGTTTCTCAAGTGAATTCATTGTTAAACTCAGTGTTGCTAGTTTTAGGTAAGTGAACCTGAGTACTCAGATATAAGTGATTGTAAAATTAATTGATATAATTGTAAAGGTTTGGTCTTTGGTCTTCTATCATTATGCTGGATATCTTCCACTTCCATGGATTTTACTACTGTTGACATACTCATCTTTCTCCATACCACAGTGAGCCGGGGGTGAGGGGTGGGGTGGTGGGGGTTAAACTGAGCTTGAACAGGTTTTCAGAATCCTTCTTAAAATCCTATTTCACTCATCAACAGCTATTAATGATTGATCAGAGTTGGGCACTTCAGAAAGATATCTGTTTTTCTTTTCTGAGTTAGTTATAAGCACATGATATAGTTAGATTTCATGAACTGAGCTTTTTTTCAGGAGCAGGGATTTTACACAAGAATGAAGGGGTAATGGTAGCATTAGGAAACTAGAGGCTGAATGTACCTTCTGATCCTAAGAAATATGTGCTATGGAGAAATTGAGCATATTTTGGTTGGTAGGGTTATGAGTGAAATAGTATACCCCAAGTGAAAGCTACATTTCAAGTAAGGCAAGGAAGTGAGAGTATTTGTGAAGAAATTAAGGTTGTAAAGGATTTTATTTATCACAGAACAAGGGTTGAAGCAAGCACTATGAACAAGTTTGAGAGGAAGGAAAACCATGTGACTTTCAGTCAGGAAAGAAGAAGCAAGTGTATGGGAATATTTACTGAGCACCAATTACATAGATAGCCCCATTAGTCACCGAAAAGGGGCTGATTCTGTAGTCTAGTACCAAATGAATGAACTACCATGGGACAAAGATTGTTAATATTAGCATAATATATTCCTGAGAATTAAGATGAAAAGTCATGATCAGTTATCTCCATTAAAAATTTAGAGGTTTTAAAGCTGGAGGTCTTAAATTCTGGTATTGGTTGTTTATGATAGTAGGAGCCAGAAATTGTACAATGGCATTCTAATATTGAGTATAAAGTTGAACAAAACGTATTATTTCTGGTTTTATAAAATGATTTTTTTTCTTACAAATTCTAACTGTGTATTACAAATTTGGATACAATTTTGAGTTTTATTTTTAGATTTCTCAGGTATTTGTGGTATAGCTCAATGAGATGACTTTTTGCGTTACTTATGATAGGCACATGTATTTGTAGAACTCACCAAGTGGTTTAAGGATTTGTATAAATAGAGCTTACAGTTAAGCATAAAATTTTCCTATTTTTCAAAGGAACTTTTTCTGGAAAATAATTCTAGGATTTCTTTATTTTTTGATCACCTATTTATATCCTAAGTTAGAAATGCTTATAGATGGCATAAGAAATATAAGTGCGAATTATTATTTTTTATTTTTTAAATTTATTGGGGTGACAATGCTTAGTAAAATTACATAGGTTTCAAGTGCACAATTCTGTAATACATCATCTATGTATCACGTTGTGTGCTCACCACCCAGAGTCAGTTCTCCTTCCATCACCGTATATTTGATCCCCTTTACCCTCTTCTTTCATCCCTCCTCCCCTCTTACCCTCTGGTAACCGCTAAACTGTTGCCTGTGTCTATGAGTTTTTGCAAATAATTTTTAAAAGTAAGATAAAAGGTTTTTAAGTGATATTAAGGTAAAATGATGCACTGCATATTAGATGCATTGAAAAATAGCAGTGTGGCCTGGAGTTTGGGTTAAATACATGTATATTTGAAACTGCTGTTGGTTTCCAGTTATTGCCTTCTGCTGATGCAGTTCAACCATTTCAGTACCCTTGTCTTCTGGTAAGAATATGTAAATATGTAAGTGAGAGGGCAAGGAAGGAAGTGGGGAAGAGAGAAAAACTTGAAAATAAATATGAAAATATTTAAAGCCATGTAATGATATTAAGGATATATTAGACGAAATTAGAGCTATGAAAAGGACATACTGTCTATCCCACACTCTTCACGTATAGGTGATGTGCTTGTTTTTTAAAAAGTACTCTTAAGATATCGCCACTATTTTCTTTAATAACATGTCTCTATTTGCTACTCTTTATGCTTCATATTACACTGCTCAGTTCTTGCTCTTTGAGATTTTATGAAATTGGAAAACAACTGGCCACTGCTTTTGAAGACTTAAGATTTGCATTTTCCTATGTTTAGCCTCTGTGGCTGACACATGCTCAATTCCTCCTTTGTTCTTTTCCCTATATGCCTGTTTTCAGACATAGTCTTAAAATAAAGCATGTATATTTCTAATTTTTATCACAGAAAACTTTAAACGTGTACGAAGAGAGAATAGTATAATGGATCCCCATGATCCTATCATTCCACTCAATTAACACTGTTCTATTATTTCTTTTTTTATATAAAAGGATATTTTATTCATAGAATTTTAATAATATTCTTTTGTTTTCTCATAGGTGGTGCTTTGTAAATTTCACTCAGTGTTTCTGTCTCAGAAAGGGCAGGTTTACACTTGTGGTCATGGTCCTGGAGGACGGTTAGGCCATGGAGATGAACAGACATGCTTGGTAATTGAAATGTCATTACACAGTTTAGGTAACTTCAGTAAAATTTTGATAAACTGGAAGCTTAACTAAAAAATATTTTTAACCAAGTGTAAGGAGAAAATAATAAACCAGTCGATAGTAGATTTTAAAAAATTGATGATTTTCCTGGTATGTCATGTTCAAAATAAAGATTTAGATATGCAAAATTCTAAAGCATCAAAGAAAAATTACATTTTGCTTATAGCAAATATTGGGGAGGGACTGCTTGTATATTTATCGATTAAATGGTGCTTTAAAAAGGAGAGAGAGCTATAATAATAGCTTCCATTTGTTGAGGGTTTATTGTAATCTAGGCATTGTTTATGAAGCCTTACAACAGCTGTGTGGGGTTATAGGCATTATTATCCTCATTTTATACACACGACAATAGTAGTAATAGCAGTTATTTATTGATTGCTTACTTTGTGCCAGAGACTATTGTGTCTTATTAGCTCATCAACTTATTAGCTCCTAACACCAATCCGATTATCATCTAAAATACTATTATTATTTTGTGTTCAGGTGAAGAAAATGAACTACTGAGAGGTTAAGAGATTTGATTGAGATCAGATAGCTAGTAAATGGCAAAATTAAGATTTGAACCTAGGACACATGACTCCAAAGGAAGTTGTTTATTTGGTTACTCACTGAAGGGGTGCATTGTTTTCTGTATTTTTATTCAGTACACCAATGAATGCTTTGACAGAAGAGTCCCGTTTATTCATACCAAATAAATTAGCACTTGGTGTATGATAAAGGCTCAAAAATAATTTGTTGAATTAAATTTTTTTTAATTGAAATGTCTTATTGGGGTTTTATATTTTACTTATAAACCAGTGTCCACATCCTATTAAACTCATCTGCCCCTTGCTGAATTGTAGAGTTTACCTAGTCATGTCCTTTGGACATAGTGTCATCAGATTCTATTTGTATTTCTATCTAAATGGTTAATATTATACTGAAGTTAAATTTACTTTGTAGGTCCCTAGGCTTGTGGAAGGACTGAGTGCTCATAATTGTTCCCAAGTGGCAGCTGCTGAAGACCATACTGTTGTGTTAACTGAAGATGGATGTGTTTACACGTTTGGTCTAAATATTTTTCATCAATTAGGAATCATCCCTCCACTGCCCAATTGTAATGTACCCAGACAGGTAAACGTCTGTTTTTTAAACAATACTATGACTATTTGCTGTAAAACCTATATAGGCAAAAAGATGGAATGTATTGACAGAGGAACTTATTTTACTTATATTCAGTAGTATACACTTTATTTTTTACAGGAGAAATTAAGCATAGTACAAATTAGGATTTGTTTGAAGTAAGAAAGAAAGCACTTGGGAAATTATGCACCAAACTGCCTTAAAATAACTTTTAAGTATTCATAAGCAGAGGGGAATCCAGATTTTGGGGGTTTAAGGCCTTCCTTAAGAAAAAACATGAAGTTTGTATTGGGTTGTCGGGAAAGTCATGATGCATTTTTGCACCGAAAAACAGAAAAATACGTCATGACTTTTACGATGACCCAACAAATCAAAATTGGCTATGCAAGTGAGGCCCTCAGCAGCCTAAGCTTATTGGCTTCATTATAAAGCTGCCTCAGCACAGAAGTCACACCTGGCAAGTTGACATGAAGGAATATAGATCCAAAAGCCACCATTCTTTGTTCTACTTACCCCTCCCATTTTTACAACTAGAGGATACCGTTTCCTCAACTTCAGAGTCCTAGTACACAAAACTGGGACTGGTGTTCTAAAGTAATGTGTTATTAGAATCATCACCTGTAACGAATGTATTTTCAGCTCAAAATTTTATATTTCAGATACTAAATTTTTTCACTGGTTTAATCCTCTGGATTTAAAATTATTAGATACATATTATCTATTAATAAGCTTTTAAAATCAGTGGTTTTCCATTTGGGATGATTAATGAATCAATAGGAATTACCACAAAATAATGAGAGATAGTCTCCAATCTGTGGTCCTTTTTAGAAGATCCATTTTCTCCACCTGTGGAATTTGTGCATATTTAATCATTTTATAGACTTATTTAGGGATGGTAGATTTTCCTCTCATTTTGATTCTCATTGTGTGGCTACATTGGAGTTCTGGGTTGATAGACATTAGCTATATTCTCAACTGGGGGCAGTTTTGCCCCCCAGGAGCCATTTGGCCATGTCTAGAGACATTTTCAGATGTCACAACTGGGGGTAGGGGTGGGAGTGGTGCTACTGACTTCTAGTGGGTAGAGTCCAGAGACATTGCTAAACCTCCTACGATACATAAGACAGTCCCCTACAACAAAGAATCATCTGGCCCAAAATGCCATTAGTGCCACTGTTGAGAGACCCTGAATATGTCAGCTTTAAAAATACCATATTTTGTAATAAGAATGAGAATGCCTGTTTTGCATATTACTTGTTAACAAAAGTTCAATGATTTGGTTTTTATACTGTGTCAATTTTTTATTTGTTAAAACTGCTGACTTAAAGTGGATGCATTAGATGTCTTGTGTTCTGAGAAGAGTTGGGGTTTTCTTTTTTCTTTTTTTTTTTTTAAAGATTTTTATTGGTGAATTGGGGGGATGGGAACAGTGCTGGGGAATTGGGGGAAGGGGGACAGACAAGTTGCTGTCATTTTGTTCTTCAGTCTAGTTGTGGAGGATGTTGCTTCACTGGCCCAAGTTGGCACCATCATTGCGCTCTTCCCGGGTGAGGCAGATCAGTCGCCGGCTTCTGGACGGCCGCTCACTGCAGCTGCTGGCCGCTCACGCTGGCTACTGGCTACACACGGTAGCCCATGGCAACCCACTGCCACAGGGACTGCAGCCCACGCCATCGCCGGCGACTCACAGCAGCCCAGCTCCAGGTTGAGCCGTTGTTCAGCATCTTAGCTGTAGAGGGCAGTGTCACTGGCCCTCATATGTGGGATCCGAACCGGGGCCCTCTAGCATCCCAAGCGAGTTCTTAACCATCGCGCCACTCGGCCGGCCCGAGTTGGGGTTTTAGTACTGGTGCTGAGATCTATTAGTGACGACTGCCATTAGCACTTAAGGGGGCACTGGTAGCAAGTATGCCATGTATTTGGTACCCTGGTCTACTGGATCTTTGTAAAAATGTACTGGTTCATAGATGTACATATAGTAAACTGCAGTCTTATTTGTCTTTTTGAATAGATGCAGGCAAAATATCTGAAAGGAAGGACTATCATTGGAGTAGCAGCAGGCAAGTTTCATACAGTGCTATGGACTCGAGAAGCTGTTTACACTATGGGACTAAATGGTGGACAACTGGGTAAGAAATCTTTGACAAAATCTGGAAAATACATTACATTCTTAAAATGGATATTTTGTAATTTACTTGTGTATTTTTAGGTTATTTACTAGATCCCAATGGAGAAAAGTGTGTCACTGCTCCTCGTCAAGTCTCTGCCCTTCATCATAAGGACATCACTCTGTCTTTGGTTACTGCAAGTGACGGGGCCACAGTCTGTGTTACTACAAGGGGAGATATTTACTTACTTGCAGACTATCAATGCAAGAAGATGGCTTCTAAGTATGTGTATTTCTGTGAAAGAAACGTAACTTTGATAAGAGTTCAACTCTTCTAGCAAATATCAGTATCAGCTTTATGCTATGCTGTGAAATGCCAAATAGAGAAAATGGAATGGCGGGGAAGTCAGGAGTTTTTGCCTTTTGTAATCTTAGTTTTTTGGCAAGTATCCTGTGAATAATGTAAAAGTTCTTTATAGTTGTAAAACTACATTTCTCATTTACGATAATATGCATATGTGGTTAAATATGACCTATAAATTGCCTTTTTTATATTTCATAATGTTTCTTTATATAATATAATTATTATAATGAATACAAGTAGAGAAATAGATCTTTGACTCTGGAAGAAGTTCAGGTAGTGGATGCAGTAGCATGCAGGAATTCTAGAGTAATCAGTCATCTAACTTTAAAAGCAATCAGGCATTGGAATTGCAATTGAATGCAACACAATGTGCTTTTGCTAATGTAAGTGAGATGGTAACTTCCTAAGTAGATACTACCTGTGAAGTTACCTCATGGGCAGAAAATGTCAACCATCAATTTGGTTACAACTTACCTTGGTTGTATAACAGTTGAAAAGTTATCAAATTTAGGTCATATTGCCTTTACAGAAACATGAAAATGTGAACCTATATGTTTCTTAGAATGCACTAGGCTTTTTCTGAGCATGAGGTGATTTGTGGGATGTTAGGTTTTGTTTTTAGTTAAGATTTGTAAAACTTGCCTTGATAACATTAAATTACATAAATATAAGTTGTATCCAAGTTTTCAGTTAGAAAATTATTTTGTTACAGATTATTACATGTTGAATGTATTATTTTGAAATGAGAAAAAAATATAGGCAAAATATCTGAAAGGGAGGACAATCATTGGAGTAGCAGCAGACGGGTTTCACACAATACTATAGGCACATCACATGAGCGGATATAATTAAATAATGTGGTTAGTGGAGAGTTATTAAATTAATACCCATGTTTCATGGTAGTCATATCTATTTAGGGTTGTCATATTTGAAATTAAGGATTTCTATTTTGTTTTGAGGTTTAAATTACTCCTTTCCTCTTAAAATCCAAATACACTTAGGAGCTTTTGGCCTCATCAGTTATTTAAACTAGAGTGAATGCATGCGTTAGTAAGCAGGGCTTTAAGTGTTTAATGTGTTTATCTGTGTAGGTAGCACCTTTTGGGAGGAAAGGACCCCTGGTGGCTCTTCAGTCTCAAAAGTTTGCCTACCCCTGGTGTAGGGGAAACTTACAGAACGAAGGGACTAAGGATACCAAAGGCTAAATTGTCTTACTTTGCCTTTCACAGTCATTGTCCTAGGTTATTATTTGAATAGTAAATTTTTAAAAATTGAGCATGTATATTTTAGAAAACATAATTAATTTAGAATTTTTTTTTTCATCCAGACAGCTAAACTTGAAAAAGGTTCTTGTATCTGGGGGGCGTATGGAATACAGGGTTGATCCTGAACCTCTGAAAGAAAATGGGGATGAAAAAATTTGCATTCTTGCAATGGATGGAGCTGGAAGAGTGAGTATATCTTTATGTAAAAGTGTAGTAATGTTATTCTCAGTTGATAGTTGTAGGGAACCTGATCATGTGAAAATGTATTTCTCTGATGGTCATGATTCCTGTTGACTTTGTTTCGCAACTTATGTTTGACATCTAATACTAATTAGTGTGGAGCTGATATTTCAAAGAAAGAACAATGACATTTAACTAACATTGCATAGTATTGCTTCATTAAACTATAGTTTAAAATTTCATTTACTGTGCTTAAAATGGAAAGAAATAAAGGATTTTGATGGGTTATTTGATTTGTATACTGAGTACTGATAAATGATACTGAATTGCGTAGATCCAAGATATGTTATATAACTACTCTTTAAAAAAAGTAAAAGCTAAGCAGCAGTATTAAAAATTTGATGTATAATTGGAAAATTTCCCCCAGATTTAGTTTACATTTAAACAAATGTATGCACATATATGCAGAGATTATAACTTATGTGTAAAAGATAATGTGTTTCTAGATCATTATATAATCTTATTTCTTTGCATTTAAGTAAATATTATAGAGTTTTAATTTTATTTCCCTGTGCAAACATAATTGGGTTGCCAGAAAAGTCATGACATATTTTTCTGTTTTTCATTGCAAAAATGCGTCATGACTTTTCCGACAACCCAGTAGTATATTTCTTTAATAAAATTGTTAATTTAAAAATATATTTTATTAGGTTGTTGGAAAAGTCATGACGCATTTTTGCAATGAAAAACATAGGAAAATATGTCATGACTTTTCCGACAACCCAATACATTAGTGACACTGAAAAAAATTTTACACTGTGACTAGAAAAACAAATTGTTTTCTGCTTTTTGCTTATAAAATAAGAACATACAATAAGAATGTTTTTAATGTTATAAGTGCTATGAAATTTTAGCTATTATAGAAATTATAGAAATTGAAGAATTTGATTTTATAGAAATTTTGATATTATAGAAATTGAAGAATTAAAATCATAAAGCTCTACCTACTGGTACATCACAGGCATAAATCTATAGTTGATCATTTTAATGGAGGGAACTATATTTAAGAATTAGAGCTCTAATTTGTACTAATGAAAGGAAGCAGAGGCATGGGATTACATAAAAACTTGAATATTAAAAACTTATATTTGACTTTGGGATGTGTTTCATTTATATTAATGTGCATCTAGCTTTTACCTCTGAATATTTGTTTCCCATAAAATTAGACTTAATATAATAACCAAGCTATAAAGGAATCAATCAATATAGTGTGTGTGTGTGTGTCTGTATCTGTGTGTGTTTGTATGTACGTGTGTATATATGTTTTGAGTGACCTTGGCAGATACCATTTTGTGCTTTAGTTTTCTTAATTATTAGGGGATTAAACTTTTATAAATCAGAAATATTAATTTTTTTAATGAAATCTTATTTGGAATGCCAGTCTATGAAGTAGATAAAAGAGTTACTGCTCTGAAGCCCAGCACCCCACCTCAACATTTTCTCTATGTTGAGCAGCAGCCATTTCATAGTAACACTAAGGTTTTCAGAACCACTAGGAAGCCATGGGACTCTATGATGAATTTTCTGTGTCTAAAATTTGTTTTTGTTAAAACTGAGTTATGCCTACATTTTTTTTTCTTGAGAGTAAAGGTTGGATTTTCGTAGTTTGGTTTTCATTCTTGTAAATAGATGGTACTACAAGTCTAACATCTAAGTTTTAACTTTAAGATTTTTGTTTTTCTTTAGCAGTGCTAAAAATTACTTAAGAGGAGAGTCTTTGAAGCATACTTAATGCTTCATGTTTGCTTGATGCGTTTTTTTGAAAGACAGTTCTTTAAAACATCTTTATTTTTATAGTATATTTTTTTCTGCAGAAGAATGAATGGACATTGAAACATATTAATCAGAACTTTTATTTTAGAAATATTATCTCTTGATTTCTGTTTTTGATTATTTCAGTTTTTGATTGTTCACATGCTATATCGCTGCTTTATATTCTAATGTAATTTGGTTTATTTTAGGTATTTTGCTGGAGATCAGTCAGCAGTTCTCTGAAGCAGTGTCGATGGGCTTATCCGCGCCAAGTCTTCATTTCTGATATTGCTTTAAATAGGAATGAAATTCTGTGTGTTACACAGGATGGAGAAGGATTTAGAGGGAAATGGTTTGAAGAAAAAAGAAAGAGTTCTGAAAAGAAAGGTCAGTTCATATCTGTAAACGGCACATAAAGTTCTTTTCCATTAACCTTTAATTTCACAGATATTTATTATTAGGTTTAATTGATAAATGTTATTAAGTTTTACCCAAATGGCTCTTTTGATTTTGGTTTGTGTATGTTTAGGTTAACAGGGAATTTGATCCACTTAAACCTGGAGTTTTCAACTTTTTATCTGTCTCAGTATCCCCTGAAGTCATGTACATTCCCTACAGTACCAGTGGCTCACTATTGCTAATTACTAGCTCTAGGAACAGGGAAGTGTAAAGAAAAACAAAACAAAACCAAAAAAAACTTCCCAGATGATTGTGAACCATCTTCTAAGCTCCCTTTTTTCTCTCTCTCCCCAAATTGAGAATTTAGTTGCTTATGCTGTATTTTTTATTTGTTTTTTACATACTTGTATATATAAAATTAAAGTTTTAAAAGGTATATCTCATGACTTACAGGAAAATCACAGGAAGAATAAAGTTTTAATATTTGTTGAGAATTTTTAAATGGACAAGTAGTTTTTTTAAACAATTGATGAATAATTGGAGACAAGTTTTATTCATTCCTTGATGAACATAAAAGATAGCATTAAGATGCCACCATTGAAAATAGAAGTTATGCATTATGTAGTTCATTCTTAATTATCTGATTATAAACTTATAAACTTGTGGTTGACTTACATTGTTTTTAAATTTAGGTTAGCTACTTTTTTCTTTCAACCAAATTAATAATCTGTTGATTTTTCTTCCAGAAAAACTACTTGTAGAATTCATTTACCTCTTTACATCTTATTGCTCCTACCCTACCCCAAGACACATGGAGTACTGAAAAAATAATTTTCTTGTTTCCATTCTTGTTTCTTTTTCTCTAGTCTCAAAATTATCAGAGTGAACTTTTAAGATCTGATCCTAATATTTCTGTGTTTAATACTTTAATGACTTCCTCATTACCTACTAAACATGGCCTATAAGGCCCCTGCTCTGACCCTTGTTTATGTCTTTGAACTCAGCTAGACCTTCAGGTTTTCAGTCTTGTCCAGCTGTGATTAGTCCCACGTCCTTTCCTAATTTTTCACATCTCACTTTAATTTATACTTCATCAAAGATGTTTTCACTGATTTCTCAAATCTAAACTGGGTTATCGTGTTTCACTTTTAGTGTTCCCCTTGTATTTTCATCATACAACTTATTTTTACTTGTTTTTTCAAATGCTTGTCTTGTATCATACTATAAGATAGCAAGGACTTTGACTATTCCCACTATATCCTTAGCATTCGGCATATTTCTTGCACATAGTAGCTCCTCATTAAGTTATTTGTTGAATGAACAAATCAGTTATTGTATGCTAAAATATATAAAGAACATTTATAATTACTGAGAAAATTACATAAACATTCTTCAAAATCATAAAACCATAAAGGAATGATTTTTGGATAGTTTTATTGATTTGTTTTAATTTTATTTTCTTATAGATTGTCAAGTCTGTAAACATTTAAGGTATATTTACTATGTGCTAGATATAGGCCTAGGTTTTAATAATATGAAGATATATAAGACAGGCCTCCTGTTCTGAGACATTCATAAATTTATAGGGGCAGTAGGCATGTATATAAATATTTATAGTTCATGGAGACAAATTCTAATATGAACATAAGTTTTTTGAGAGTATAGAAATTGGAATAACTAAGTGTTAAGGGAAGATTGTAAACCTCCCTGAGACTGAAATAGACCGAATTTGAGAGAGCAACCAGAATGCAGTTTCGATGTGTAAATGTTGGAAGTCCTTAGAATTGCGTTTTACTCATATTTAGTGGTCTAAAACTGAATTCATGAACTCATGCATCGCATCTGCTTTTCAGTGTTTTCAATCTAAAGGAATGGTTTATCTTTGACACCCCATATTCCTTCAGTCTCTACATGTAATTACAGTAGTCACCAATTTTGTCACTTTTTTCTCAAATACTGTATATCTGAAATCTTTCCACTTTTCTAGTTTCATTGATATACCCTCAGTTTATATCGTTTATTCTTTTTCTGGATTCTTAGTTTTTTAAATGATCTTTGTCTTTATTTACTTTAAACATTTTTCATACTGCAGGCAGAATCATTTCTTTGCATGCAGATTTTGTAGTTTTCTTTCATAGCCCTGATCTGATTTGTAATGACATAATCATTATTTCATGTCTGTCCGCTATGCTAAAAGTATACTCCAAGATGGTAGGGACATGCCTATTTTGTTCACTACTGTCACCACGGACAGACTGATGATCACTGTCACAGCAGCACAGTGTGCTCACTCAGATATTTGCTGAATAAATGGAAGAAATAGGGAGAAGGAAGGGAGGGGACAAATAAACAACTGATTATGAAGACGCTAAGTTTATGTATTTTTAATGCAAGCTGAGTAATTCTGAAAGCTAGTTTAACACTAGATTTGCTTTTTAGAAAGATAACTTTGGTTATATTGTGGAGATATGTTTGTTGAAAGGGATAAATTCATGGATAATTGAGAATTGACCCACCGAAATTTCATGTATAATACAAACAATATATTGGGTACAAATTGTGTTGAGAAAGAGGATGTAGTTTTTCAAAAGGACTTAATACACACAAAGATATTTCCATATTTTCCTAATTGTATTTCTGTTCCATTTACTCCTAAATTATTTTAATAGTTTCAATAAATCCTTGATTAATGGGAATTTATTTTTTTCTTTTTAGCAGAGATTTTATCAAACCTTCATAATTCCTCATCAGATGTATCTTGTGTCTCTGATATAAATAGTGTATATGAAAGAATTCGACTTGAGAAACTTACTTTTGCCCATAGAGCCGTTAGTGTCAGCACAGATCCAAGTGGATGCAACTTTGCAATCCTGCAGTCAGATCCTAAAACAAGGTACATTTATATATATATATTAAATTTTATTTTTAGAAGGAACGGTCACTGGATTTTCTTTTGTTTTCCGTAGCTTCTGGAGCAAATTTAATTGAAGAACTACTTCCAAGTCTTGTAGACTTTAGACATATTATGTTACCAGGGAAACTCAAAGGTGGAATTTGTTATACTGGAAATGACAAATGTTCCTTTTCGTTTGTAAACTGATATATATGGAAAATATTGAAGAAATACATGTTTATATATGTGTGTGTGTATATATATATATACACACACACACACACACACACACACACACACACACATACACAAAATTTATATCTTTAGTACTTCTTGATGTACTCTTAAGTTCTCAGATTTTGAGAAATATAAACATTTGTTATGTAGTTTGCCACAATTTCTGTCCCTTGAATATGAATGATGAGAATTGACAGAAGAAGAGAGTATGGAGTCATCTGGAGGATAATGTCAATCTCTAGTAGAGAGATGACAGGTTAAGATAAATATCAAGGGTACTATTAAAAAGGAAAAAGTCCTAGAAGTAGGTGACCATCCGTCCTTGTTTGTCTAGGTCTGTCCCATATTTAGCACGAAAGTCTCATCTCCTGCAAAACCCCTCATTCCTAGGCAAACCAGGAGATTTGGTTCCCCATACCTGGAAGGGTGAGAAAATTGGAAAGGTGTGATCACATTTCTACAGTACTGAAAGAATCACCATTACAGACCTACTGTATGTCTGTGTCTGTATTTATCTTTACTTCCTTGAGTTTCCAATGTACTTTAGGATCTGGGACCTGAAATATTTACTCAGTTTTTTGTATATTTCTTTTTCTACACTTGTAAAATAAAAGGATATAAAAGAGGAAAAAGTTGAGAACTATATTCTTTTTTAAATATTTTAGTTGTACTTTTAATTATTTAAAAATTTCTATGAAATAGTCATTTGAAATTTATATTCTATTGTTTCTTTGTAGAAATAGAAAACACGGCTTTCAAAGGAAAACTTAATTCTTATCATTTTAGTTTAGGAGAAATAAACATATAAAAAGGAATAGAAAATTTAAATGGTGATACAGTATCTAAGACTGTGCAGTATTCTTATATTTTAGGAAATGCCAAATTTAAAATTTTCTAAGTTTAATAAATAATAAAGAAATTGCCCTTTAAAAGGAAAATTGGCGAGGGGTGCTTTTGTTTTTTTAACTTTTCTTGAAAGTAAGTGATGTTTGTTTCATTTCTAGCCTTTATGAAATCCCATCTGTGTCCTCATCATCCTTTCTTGAAGAGTTTGGCCAATTGTTGAGGGAAACAGATGAAATGGACAACATCCATGATGTGACATTTCAAGTTGGCAACAGAATCTTCCCTGCTCATAAATATATTTTGGCAGTGCGTTCTGACTTTTTTCAGAAATTGTTTCTTTCAGATGGTACTTCTTTAGATTTTACAGATGTTTACCAGAAGGATGAAGATTCTGCAGGATGCCATCTCTTTGTGGTAGAGAAGGTTCATCCTGACTTGTTTGAATACCTTTTACAATTTATATACACAGATACTTGTGACTTTTTAACTCATGGTTTCAAACCAAGAATAAACTCAAACAAAAAACCAGAAGAATATGAGAGCACTCCAGATTCTCATCTGAAGAAAATGAATTCCCATGAAGATAATCAGAAGTCAGCATTTGAAGTTTATAAAAGTAATCAAGCTCAAACAATTAGCGAAAAGCAGAAAAGCAAACCCAAATCTTCGAAAAAAGTAAAAAGTGTTGGGGAAGATGACCCTGTAAGAATGTTGCAAAATCTTGCAAGGAAATTTGGTTTCAGTAATTTGAGTAGTAGGTATGACTCCCCCTTAATATCCATTCTTGTACCTCATTGTACCCCCCCCTTTTAAAAATTCACTTTTATTTTGCTTCTCTCTTTCTCCCTGCTTACCCTGCTACCCTTTTTGAGGGGAGGTACGTGAATATACCTCCATTTTCTGCTAAAAGCTACCTTTGTGGGACTCCCTGGATTAAAACATTATTACAGCATGGGAAGGCTGTTATTGGGTTTGAACTCTTGTGTTTGTGTAACAGGGATCTGGAGTGGCAGGCAGTGTGATATGTTGGAAAGAGAAAGTCTTTGGAGTAACAAAGACCTATATCTGTCTCTTACCTTTACTGTAACTAACTGGGGCAAATTTCTTAGTTTCTTTGAACTTGAGTTTTTCATTATATAAAATGGGAGGGATAATATTGATCTTATATTATTGGTGTGGTTTTGTCATATAACATATAAAGTGACTAACATAGTGTTTGTCATATTATAAACCTAATTTTTTTGCATTCTCTCTATTGTTATTTATATCGTTTTGTGGCAGTATAACCTTAGGTGGAGCAGGGGACGAGTGTATGTTTTCTATTTAAAAACAATGAAGGGCTTTTTGTGCTATGGCTTTGATTTTTAAAATTTTTTTTAGTAATGATATTTAATGTATTTTTAATTCTAAGTAACATTGAAGGAGAATGTATGATTATTACTTTATCACAGAGTAGGGGTTCTTTGAGATACTTTTCTAGGTGATGTAAATTATACCATCATGTTCAGATGTAAGCTAATTTGTTGGGTTTTTATTGCTTGTTTGTTTTGGTAGAGGGATATATATATATACAAATTGTCAATTTTTATCTATCCTTCATAGGTTAGATGGAGTCAGATTTGAAAATGAAAAAATTAATGTTATTGACAAGAGAACTGGTAATAAACCAAAGCTAAATCAGAAAAAATGGTAAGTTAAGAAATGAAGATAAACTTGTCACCTCTAGATTTGGGACTTAAGTGTAGAAATAGAGCTTTTTTTACTTATGAAGCCAAATGTAATGGTAGATACCTTTAAATGGTATTCTTAATTTTTGGAAATGTTGGAGAGTTGTTGAGGGAAATGGACAAAATATTACGTGCTCAGTAAGACATTGGTACAATTTTTTTTTTCTGATTAATTCCTAATTAAGAAAGGAGTTTTTAATTTTTGTTTTTCTTGTCTGAAGTTTGTATTTTTAATCAATAGGAAATGATGTTAACCCCAAAACCAAACTAATTACGCCTTCTCATCATTATGATGATTCCTTTGTAAATCTTTTCAGTAATAAATATACTATTCTAAATATATTTGTTATTAAAAGTTTTTGTTTTTAGATGTTTATGCTTGTAGGTGAAAAGTTTTTGGAGAAAGAAAAACTGTGGCAGTATCTAGATTATGCTTCGCATAGAATAGGTTATACAAATAAGTGAATTAAAGACCTTTGACTGTGATGTCACTTACTATTATATTATTAATACCTGTAATGAAAAAGGAAAATTAGAAGAAAGACTTTTTTGAATATTTATCTATATTCTAAGGCCCTTATCATCTTCTCTAAAGTGGAAGGAGATGAAGTACTTTATTTGTATGTATACCATCAAGTTGCTTATTCGCTGCTGCCTTTAATTAAGAGAAAATCAAAAGTTAAGCCAAATCCTATAATGAATTTTCTTATTTGCTAAATATATAAAGAAATCTCTCTTGCTTCAATTAAACATTTTTTCTTGCAGCTCATTTCTATATGATGTCACCATAATATCAGTGGATGGAAAGGAATTTCCTTGTCATAAATGTGTTCTTTGTGCTAGACTTGGTAGGTACACTTTTTCTTAGATGCTGATTTATTTGTTTTAGTATTGTTTCACTATTCTCACTGAATTTAATTTTTTTTCTTTCAGAATATTTTCATAGTATGCTGAGTAGCTCATGGATTGAGGTACGATTTAAGTAGAAACCACATAGGCTTATATTTTAAGGAGACTATATACTAAAGAAATTCAAAATGGGAACCTCATATTTTAACTCAGTTTTTCTTTTGTATTAAACTTTATTTATGCTTAAGCCTGCCTGAAAATAGCAACATTCAGAAATGAAACTGTTGCAAAGAAGCTACTTAAAATTTTCCTATTATTATTTAGACATGAATTTGGCATAACAGTGTGTTTTGTTTTTCTGTTTTTCTGGATCCTTTTTCATATTATATGGCAATTTAAAATTAAATA